TAGAAATTGAACGAGTTCGAAATGACCGTTCTTTCTGGTAGCTATTGTTGCACATTCCCTGCCTATGAGTAAACAAAAACAAAAACTTTGCGGTTACGTTAAAATGCACATGATTTGTGAATTTGTGTACTAAAATTATCTTTAACGAATTAAACGATTGTCTTCGAGCCATCGATCTCTATTATTACTACAGAAGTAATAATAGAGATCGATGCTTCGAGTTAGTGGCCAATACACCAATTTAATTACACTCCACTGTTGAATAAATTGTCACAAAGAGGATATCGGTTTAGTATAGTAATACGTTTTATGAGAAAATATGATCCCACTTAGTTTTACACGTTAGAAAAATACAGTGCTTTATTTTACTAAACAAAATCTGTTGGGAGTTTTAATATAATTTACAAGGTGTGTCATAAGCAATAAGCAAAACTCCAGGATGGGGGACTATGGGTCAAAATACAAGAGAAACATAAGAATGATATTTTTCCAGAGATTCGTCGTTAACCAAAAATATAAACAGATCATAATTTGATTTTCACAAAACATTTTTATCATTGAGTTGTTCTAACCGATCTTTCATAAAACTTAGTAAGTTATGCAGGAACCTAACCCTAACCTAACCAAAATAAGCAAAAAATGGGCGATTAAAAATTTCAAAAAACTGTTGTTTTGCATTTCAAATCTCCTAGGCTTAACAACTATACAAAGATGTAAAATAAGTCAAAATGAGTAGGTAGCATCCATCGAACTATATAGGTAAGTTGTTTTATATACTTCGATGGTAGCACCCACCAACCACCCTTATTATACATCAAAAAATTAAAATAGGCCTATATTGTTTTATTAGCTTTGCAAGACATGATTAACTACTGGACAGGATGCCAATTATTCCTCGAAGCCTCTAATTTTCCCATACAAAAAAACCAGTTTCGACTTCCCATTTTACGTAACACGTGTGGTTCGCAGTCCACCGTTCCCTTCAGCAAGGTTGGTACAAGGAACGGGGGACAGGGAGTGGTAGTTTGAGGGCAAGGTTGAGCTGGACAATGTCGTTTGGTTTCCTCAATTATTTACTTTTGCAAATGACGCCATTTCAAACACTTCTAACGTTTGGTCCTTAACTATTGGCGGAGTTGGCAGTTTGAATCTTGCCTTGATTATCAAGGCAATTAAAATAATATCAAGGCTTGATATTGAGATATTATTTTTTTGTTAACTTGTTAATGTTAATACCACAATGTAAGTAAGGGATGTAAAGTTAAGAGATTTGTTTTATAGCAAAGCGGTACAAAATAACTAGAAATTAATGACAAAATTCAAATTATAAAATCACTAATCAGAATTATAGCATTTTTTGTTAGAAATTTGAATAAGAAAATAGAAAATACTATTGTACAAAATAAAAAATCTGATAAAGTAACCTATTAAACAATAACAATGAATAAAGGGCTAAATCATGCATATATTTTTGGGCATTCCGTAAGTTTAGTCAGATAAATAAGCAGTGACATTTTTTTGGAAAAATATAACAATTCACAGCGTAAATTTTGAGAAATATTTCTCCAAATTAGGACTTCATTGTTTGGTAACATTGTTATTGAAACTACAAAAATTGACCTAAAGGCTATGTGTCATTTTGTTTATAAAGTTTCCAAACATCTCCAAAACATGTTTGTTAACAATTCAGAGACAATTAGAAAACATTTATAAGAAACTACAGTAGATGCTTTGTTTATACAGTACTTCACAATTTGACAAGAAAAGAAACCCAGTTAATAGGAAAATCTAATCCACAATGAACAATGGGAAAGAATACTAAATACAACTTTGGACCTAGGTCAATAATTGTCATTCATGAATTATATAAGGTACAAGACAAAATAAATCTAGAGCTTTATCAAGAGTAAGCGTAAATTGAGAGAATTTAATTATTTTGTCGCCGATTACTAATAAGTGTTTGCATTCATGTTGAACAAAGAAATACATAGTCAGAAAATACCTTTACCAAACCTGTATGAAATGAAAAAAAGTTTAATGAGATAATTAATTTAATTCTAAGAGAAAAAATAAAGGGGATTCACACAAAATGAAGATCAAAAAATCAAATTAAAGACTGTCTGAGTTATCAGCAACACTGACCTTACAAAGGTTGTGTTGATGTGAACTGCAATTAGATGTTATTTAGAAGTTGAATCACATTTTGTGAAATTACTAAACAAATATTCACATTCATCACATTATCAACTCAAAGCTGTCAGGGTAGGTCTACAAAGGTCGATAATGTAAAAAATGTTTATTTTTTTGTAAAAATTTCATCTTGAGGCTTAATTGTGAAAGACACCAACATAACAGTGAACTGTATTGTTTGAAAGGCACAAGTCAAAGTCACATACACATGCTATAAGAAAGGCGTTAAACAAATGTATTTAGCCGCAGGAACAAAATTCCTCTATGGATTATTGATCGTTCACAGCCTTCTATGAGAAGCAAAATCCTTAAAACACATAGCTAAACAAGTTTCTACTTTTAACTTGTGCATTTTAGTTACTCGTAGACTTAGACAACAATTACACTGATTCTAACAAAACTCGAGATATTTTGGGGTTCCCAGGTGTTAGGCTATATCAAAATTTTGTCACTAACCTATCAAGGTTTGTTCCCTAAATTTCAGTTAGATCAAGTTATTCAGGTTATACTGATAACGGTGAGTAACTGATAACCTATTCAACTATTTCAAATCTTATTTTTCTTCTTATGAAACAGTTTTCAAATGTAAATAAAGCAAATCTTACGAATTCCTCATCAAAAATTCCATCCGATTACGAGATATTTTACAATTGTGATAAAACACATCTTTCCCACCACACTAGAATAAAAACATTGATTTGTGCAATTATCTGTCGCCCACTCCCAAGCCTACGCTTCTTAGTAGCCAACAGTACTTTTATACGATAACACATTTTACACGTAGGTTACAGCACCTACCTCAGATGATTTTATTTTTAAGAAATTAAATTTTAAACTGTATAGTCTTAAAAAATCAATAGCAATGACGTATCTTGAAATAACTGCCACATACTTTACTAGCCTCCTGAATGCCTTATTGACCAATAACAACAAACAATTTTATACAACAACACCACAATATCCTTGAGCCGGTTATATTCTGCTACTGTTAAACAAAGCGTAAAGAGGATGGTATGTATACAAGTTAAATCAATATTCGTGTTTTAAAGTGTTTTAAGTTTAAAACTAATAAATGATGTAATTAACGATCCCGACTCTTGTCTTGATAACTTACAAGGTAGCTTCAATAGGTTACATTCATTCCTTTATTCACTTGTTTTTCATCAGTCTTTGCCTAAAAGTACAATAGGATGACTTAGACCTTGTAGTAATTTAGTTAGTTCCAAAAGGTAAGGTTTGGATGTTTAAAAGGTGTACAACCTGAGATATCCTCAGTCTGTGTTTTGTCACATGAAAAGTGCGTCCAATGTAATAATATACGAGAATGAACGTTAAGCTACAAACATTCTCTGTCAAGTAAATCTCCAAAGCAAGCATTGCACAGACAAAATGTTCCTCATTATGGGGTCAAAGGGAGTTCTAAGACCCTACATTTTTCCCCAAGGTTTCTAACTTAGGCTACATACAGTACACTATGTTCAAAAAAAGAATTGATGAGGATTAAATGGGAAGTGTAGCATGAGAGCGATTCAAAACATTTTATTTAAATAATGTTTTAATAGGCCTAAGTAATGCTATGAAAACGTCAAATATAACAAACTTTACAGTGTCAGATCCAGCGAAATGTATTGCAGGACGCTTAACTTGACAGAGCTGCAAACGTATCCATTAAGCAAGAAATGTTACATGTCATAAATTAAGGCTAGTTAAATTTGGCTCCATATACCGTAACTTACCGATATTAGCTCCAATGCAAATTTTGTTCTTTTAAGTAATCGCTCCAAATAATTTTAACTCCAATTGGCTAAGTTAGACCTATTACCTTAGAATGAATGCTAGCTATTAGTATTACAATTGGATACCTAAGCTAGAATAAGCCTAGTCCAATAAAAAGTATAGCCTATTCCTCCACCTATTTATAACATTGATGTAGCAGGGTTTCATTCATCGCAGCTGCATTCAATGAAGAAGAAAGTCCAACGTACACTCATAAAACTAAGTTAGGTGTAGGCCTACCCTATAGGTTTAAACGGTTATAACTTACAAGCCGGTCCAATTATGTTTTCTTAATTTCTTGTAGGTTCCGCAGAACATACAGGCCCACATTGTTCATTAAATATGAAGGTAGCCTAGGTACTGCATATTCCTACAATTGGAGCAATGAGAATTAAACGTGATCTGAGTTGTACATAAGAATCTGAGCTTTAGGACTCCCATTAAAGTTTTCTTTCTTTTTTTACTTGTCTAAATTTTTTCAATGATCTTACCAATAGGCCTAGGCAAAGTTAATGTATAAAGTTTTCTGCATACAATTTTGAAAAATGCTAGGCCTAGTGGTATGGATAGCAATACTTTTCAACAAAAAGCAAGGGAAAATCTTTTGAAAAAAAGTTTAAATCACAATAGGTAGCTTGGTAGTAGCCTGAGGATAGTCCACCCCAGTGAATTTTGATTCACCCTACATAAAAAGTACTAAATTAGAAAATAATATAAATATCATAAAAAGGCCAAAAATATAAGGACAAATCCAGTTACTGTGGTTTCAGTATTATCAGTGCAATCAGCCTTATCAGTATCAGTTCAAACTGCGGGAAGGCGGCATAGGCAAATGCTTTCAATTAATTTGCAAATAATATCCAAATATTTAAGTTACAAATTCGCGGTTAGAATTGCCGGTCAAACAAGAGGGACCTTGAAAAACCAAATTTAGAAGTCTACTAGCGGGCCTACGTGACTTTCGCATGCCGCCCAATGGTGGGTTGAAAATAGACAGTGAATTAAATAAATAAATAGAAATAACATCCACTTACCCCAAGCATTAGATGAAACGGCACTCGCAAATAAAACTGCTATGAGAAATAAACGTCCTGTTTTCATTTTGTAAAAGTTTAATTCATCTAATCATTAAAAACACACTCGTTCAAGTACTTTCACGCACCGACACCGACCAACACGGCACGACTCAACAGCTGAAATGAATGATTTTCTTGTTTCGACTTTGCCGCAACGCAAGTGATTGGGGCATGCGCTCAGGTTGGTCTTGCGGGACACAGAGGGAAACACGATTTCGTGTCGTGGCCAACCTGTGAAATGCTGTCTGCTCTGCACTGAGCAATAAACATTGTCTTCCAATTTTAGGGTTAGGATTGCTTATAGACAGACTACTTTTATGAGGTAGGCTATTATAAAATTGTTTTTGTGTACAACTTAATTGTTTGTACTCTTGATAGAAATGCCAGAGTACAAAGTGCAAGTTGTAACCCTTTCTTTTTGAAAACGGTTCTCATTAACAATTTCCTAAAAAAAAATTTGACAGTGTACCCGTACTGAATAATATGTTATTTAACTTACAATTCATGCAAATAATAATATGTAATTCGTTTCAATGTATGGCATGTCGGTAAAAACGTATAAAAAGACAAATATTTCTACAAAAGGTCTACTTGAATACGAAGATTTGTTTACCACCTTATAACGTACAGACATTTTAAATAACAATTGTGAAAACAACTCCAATCGATACTCTCAATAAATAACAACTATTATTTACAATTAGATAATCCCGAAGAAGGAAGTTGAACAGAACTCATTTCGGAAAATAAAAACGTCTATAATAGCGGCTTCTCCACGAATGTAAACAACGGCGGCCATTTTGTGTTTACACACACGCCGTCGCCGTCAGATGAGAGCACTGCAGACGCTCACACCAACAGCTGGTTCTATTTTTTCGTCCAGATTCCTGTCTGCTAGCGCGCCATAGTCAAACTTTCAAACGCTATTTCAGGAGTTTGTGAATTCCTAAATTACAAAAAAACTTGTATTTGATGTTTGATGATTTCTTTTGCATATTGTGTGTGTGCATATTGATTACTATTTTTAGATATATATATGCTCTGAGTAAATGTAGATTATTTTAGGTTTTCTGTATCAGACAGTTACGGGTAAATTGTAGATACATGATCCGAAACCCCATAGATTTCATATGTAGGCTAAAATGTGCATATAATACTAATCGTTATTATTGTTTCTCTAAGATATGGAATTTGATACTAACAAAATTTAAGCACTACACTAATAATTGTAAACTGTGTTGGCCGTTGAAATTAATAAATAAATATTTCAATTAATTATCAATTAATCATTGAGATGGGGATGCCACCTAGTGTATATTAGTGTGCAGTGTAGTATTTTAACCCAAATATGAGTGAAGGATGAGTGTAGAATGGTGTGAGATGACCTGTGTAGTTTGCCTTTGTTACTGACTAAGATCAGCGGTAAAAAATAAATGTGTAGCCCTCCAGTGCCAGCCGATATATAAGATCAAGTTCAGGATGTCCGTAATTTCATAATATAAAGATGGATATCAGCTTATCTTAGCTGATGTATGACCACAGAGCCCGTACAGTATATATAAAAAAACCAATATTGCTGTGATTAAGCCATGAACTTCAACTTTGCGTAAAAAAGATACGTGACGTCGTCGTTTAATAATGCAAGCAGCAATAGCACCTGTCATGCTTGGTATGATAATTGCTTGATCAAATGCCGGTTGAACATGACGTGTGAAGGTGTGAATACGAATGAATTTCATTTTTGTAAAAATCAATGTACCGTATGAACAAAGTGTTTAGGACACTTTCATAAGCGGGGCCAAAAACAACCGAATGAAAAATCTCACTTAAATATATGTATATTAGACAACTGTATGAATATATCGAACTTAACTTATATAAAACTAAATATATCGATATTAAGTTCGACATATCGATTCGATATTACAAATTTCGACTTATTTATTTTCATTCGGTTGTTTTTGGCCCAACTTAAGAAAATCTACCCATTCGCTTTTACATCGTGTGCAAGATACATAAACATTCGCATTCTTCAAGAAATAAAGTAATCTAGGGGACCCCCATTGTAATAGAGTTCACAAATATTATTTAAGTGGGAAAACTAAAAATACTCCAATTTACCTTTAAAATACATGCAGACACTAGGCGAACCAAACTAATAATTTAATTGTAGTTATATAGCACAAAGAGTGAACTACCTATCTTAATCAGGCCACAATTATCAACAAAATTATTTATGTTAAATCAATTTGTATAACCAAACTTGTCTTTTGTTTACAATATGACTGTGGGTAAACATTTAACTGAATGGTCAGCTGTTAAATTACAATTGCATTTAATCCGTTTTGAAAAAATTCTGTCAGCATTACCGAAGGTTTTAAAGCAAACTCTAGTTATATTATAAGTAAATCACTAGTGGGGCGAAGCCTTAAAAGAATTGAATTTAGTTATTATTCTTCCCTCAGCTGGATAATATTATTAAAAAAAAACTCCTGAGTGGTACGATAGGAAAAGGGGTGTTACAGAGATACACATTATACAGATTAATAATAACCTTATATAATAACGAGTTTGCCACCCTAAAATTCGTCGGCAATTCAATGTAAACATTATGCTTATAACGACATTTATAGAATTTCCTCTTTAAAGATGTAAAAATAACGTGTACACAACTTATGAAACACGTGAAAACAAAACTATCCTTGAATAAGCATTTGATGAGCAAATCAATAACAAATTACAACAAAGAAAACCAGAATCCAACGAATGTAAACACATGTAGTCGCTTTAAGAGCTGTAGACAAAAACAACTTACGTATTATTATTAATATATTTTGAATGTATTAAGTACATAGATTTAAAACTAGTCACACACTCGTACATAAATCATGACTTGCGCCTGTCTAAAATGCAATAAATAATACAGAAAGGTTTGTCATAAACAAATTTCACGACAGTACATGCGTCATAAGGTAATCCATCATGAGTGATCCTAAATGGCCAATATTTTAGCCAAGGGAAAATATTATATTTGTATAGTTAAGTTATGTGAGGTCGCTCGCAACTACTTTTCGCGGTCATAGTCATAGCTATCCCTGATCACTGGGCCTTAAATAAATGATCCTGACTAATGAAACAGCTGATCGTAGTCAGTACAGTTATATATAGTGAATGTCAGTCACTAACAAAGCTACACAGATCATCCATCTCCATTCTACCCTCACACTTCCCTCATGTGTTGAAAATACACACCCAGATAGCGTCCCTATCTCAGTGATTGATTATTAATAATTAATCTACTATAATCATAGAAAAAAAAAACGTCTATCAAGATCAGCCGTGCTGCAGTTACCATAGGTTCTGACGCACACCGCTGGGAGCGCCATGTAGCTAGGCGTACGCGCTACCTAACTATACGGCGCTCCCAGCGGTGTGCGCCAGAACCTATAGTAACAATGGTAACCGCAGCACGGCTGACAGTCTATATATAATTCTTTTTGTCTATGCTACAATTTACGCCCACTCCAAAATTGGGTAAACTTACACTCCGATCTCTCGATGGAGATAATAGGGGTTAGTATGTACTCATATTTTAATGGGCGCAGCCCTTGACGAATGAGGTGACAATAATCGCCAACTGAATTGATTTTCACTGTTTTATCTGTAGATTTAGTATAAAAGTTATTATTTGACCACTCATTGTTAACTCATAGGTTTGTCAGTAACCATGTTCGCCATGAGGTGCGTGTGCTGCCTGTATGATGCGTGTTTAGCGATTCTGACGTAAGCATGATTGACAAGGATGTGACGGAGATCCGACAGCGGAAGGATATTTTGGGAATCATGACTGTCGTATTTCTTAGATAAGTTTTCGATAAAGATAACAATTGTTCAATTTGTATGTATGCCTGCAGACGTTTTCGTACTGTACTACTTATACATAGGAATTTTATACTTATCAAGAGGTTAAATTACGAATAAGCTAGATGCAAGGTTGTATTCAGGATGAGCATACAATGGACAAAGTATAAATACCCCCGCCGCAGCAAACCTGCAGACTAAGCGAATTTCCATTTGACTGATTGGATTTACACTGAAATGTCTACTTCAAAATATAACATTTATTCTTGATTTAAATAGAATTAGTTTAACAAGTACTTAGGTTTGCTGCATCAGGGAGGGTAAAACTTTTTTTTTTGTAAAATGTGAATAGGTAGTGAGAAATAAAAACATTTTCCAAATTTGATCAAAATATGTTCACAACCAAGCAAACTACAACAGTTTACTTATTCTCCATAAGAATAACATGGGAATTTTAAATTTACAATTTTTTGGAATTTTCTCCGTAACTATTAGGCGCATAATAACGCTTCAATATACTAAATTATTTGTTTTTTTAAGCTCTACAAAATGGTTTGGAAAGAAATTGCTAAATTTTATGTTTTTGGGTCAAAAATGGGAAAAAACCTATTTTTACCCCATAAAACCCCCCGTTCCCATGGTCCGATCATGCTGGATCGCGAACTCGTTCGAATAAACGTACGTTTACACGTTTGTACCAAATTTCATCCAAATCGGATCATTTTTGCTCGAGTTATCGTGCTGACGGACACATATATATATATATATATATATAAATATATAAATATATAAATATATATATATATATGAATTTGAACGGATGGTGTTTTTGGCCTCTAGGGACCTCAAAACGAAAAAAAAATCGGTCCCGCGTCCAGGTCTTACCATGAGTACTACGGTAATAGCTTATTCCCTATATGGGAAATTCGCTAAAACGTAGTGAATTCTGGTAAATATATAAATCTACAATAATTTGCGAGGTCTCTAAATTACTGTACTTATATTTTAGAAGTTTACTTAAATTGTCAATAAATAAATGTAGCTAAGTCGATGTAGCTAAGACTAAAACAACAATGAATCCCTATTTAATTCATTTTTACCACTTTTTGACACGAGTGTTTCTAAAATTAGGCTACGGCATTGAAGTGTTGATATATTATTATATCGCGATAGGACAACTCAGTTCTTTATATCGTTGGTAAGTTGGCAGCAGTGGTTATTTTGTAATTCATTCATGCAGCCGCATTCTGGTG